CGCCACACGGATCTTGACGCAAGGCCAACGTCACGTCAACTCTCTGGAGTGCTTTGCTGTGAAAGGATCTAGCAAACTTCCCTCTCTTTATTATTTTTCAAATAAATGACGAGCGGTGTGAGGCTGAGGGAGTCAAACTCATGACCTCCAAAGAAGTATTTCCTCCGTAAACTAATATAAGACTGTTTAAATTACTAATATAGTGATCTAAACGCTCTTATATTAGTTTACAGAGAGAGTGCTTGAGTACCAAGCACGCTCACTACTGGGCTAAAGCTAGGTTTCTTTAATAGCTGTGCTCAAATCTCCTTTATGTATTTTGGTGAACTATTTTTAAAATTATTCTTTCATTTGCAAAAAATAATCTGTTTTTTATTTTATTTTTGATAGAACAAAAATCCCTACTTTTCAGAGAGGATGTTTTTCAAAACTTGTCATGCACATTTTTTATTATAGGTAGCATGACAGTTCATAGGTCCTTCTTTTATTATAGTTTTATTTTTTAAGAGCATGGCATTTTGTTATTGGTACCATGTCGGTTTTTATGTATTAAGAGCATGGCATTTTAATAATAGGATGGCAGTTTTTTTACTAAAAACATGTCATTTTATTATTAATAAGACAGTAGTTTATTATTAAGAGCATGGCATTTTTAATAGTTAATAACATGGTATTTTTATTTTTAAGAGGATGTCGGTTTCGTAATCAACAACATGGCATTTTTATTATTAAGTGGATGTTTGTTTATTCTTAAGAGTATGGCATTTGTATTTATCATTAACTTGGCAGTTTTAATTTTTAAGAGCATGTCATTTTAATATTCAATAACATGGTATTTTTATTATTAAGAGGATGACATATTTTATTATTTAGAGGATGGCATTTTAATTTTTAATGCCATTGCATTTTTTTTCCTTTTTTAACCATGATAGTTTTAAAAGTTTAGCATGACAATCATAATTCTGATCATGGCAATTAGAGTCCTTTTCTATTGTTGTCATTTTTTCTAAAAAAAAGAAGATAATTGGGCCTATGGGCAGCACAAGAACCGCGTGGCACTTTTTTGGGTGAATGGGATGGGATTTGGACAGCTTTTTAAGACCTGAATCGATCAACTAGTCATTGATCAAACCTATACAAGCGACGTTTTCAACGATCAAAAGGTTTCGCTCGATGGACCATCCTGGGGCAAACAAATCATTCACGGGGGTCCTCCTAGAGCTGACGTACGTTGGATATTAGGGTCCTATAATGGTGTGTTTCGTCACGATTCCTATTGTGATGGTTTTCTACTAGCCATGACACTATTGTGTTGGTTTTATGCATTTAACTCCTCAACGTAGTGTTGGGATTGATGATCTACGTAGTATGATTATTCCATTGATGATGATGTAAATATTCTTTGATAAATAAAGCAAGCCATGATGGCATTTGCTTAGAAAAAAGCATAGAAGATAGGATGTATGACTCATGTCTAACCATCAAGCCAAACCTCGTTTTGTATTCCAGATATGCAGAAGGTACTTGTGAACTGTTATGTTTGTATCTTCGATACCATGTTAAGAGTCAGAAAAGCGTTGAGGACATACACCATATGTTTTGCAATGCTATATACATTACTAGGAAAAGGGCTACTAATGGCGCACCAGTTTTGCCTACTAATGGCGCATCACTGGTGCGCCATTAGTATCAGGCCACTAGTATTTTTTACTAATGGCGCACCACTGGTGCGCCATTAGTATAGGCCACGGTGCGCCATTAGTATAGGTCACTGGTGCGCCATTAGTATTTTTGAATTTTGAAGGCGGGAAAATAGGAGTGGCGCACCGTCTAACCCCCACCGTGCGCCATTGCTATTTTTGAATTTTGAATTTGGATCTGGATCGTGATTTTTTGCCTATTTTTCCTCCTTTTTTGGCACGATATTATTTCAAATTTTGTTTCTGTTTTTGAATCTTGTACGTTCTTTTGCCGTGTTCTTTTGCCGGAGAGGAGTTCGCCGGAGAGGAGGAGGAGGAGGAGGTCACCGGAGAGGCGCTCACCTACATCGCCGGAGAGGAGGAGGAGAAGTTCGCCGGAGAGGAGGAGGAGGAGGAGGAGGTCGCCGGAGAGGAGTTCACCGGAGCATCGAAGAGGAGGAAGGAGAAAC